CGGCGGGCGGCGCACCCGGAAGGTCCGTGGACCGAGCAGCGCAACAGGCGGCGGCCGAGGGGCCGCAGCGGCGCGGACGGGCTCAGGATGGACAAACTGAAGAAAGTGCTGAGCGGGCAGGACAGCGAGGACCGGGGCGGCCTGGCCGAGGTGAGCGAGCCCCCAGCCCGGCCGCCGCGGAGGCGCGCGGGGGCCTGGGGCGCGCCGGCTGCTCGCCGCGGGAAGCCGAGCCGGACTTCCAGGGTTTCCTGGAAAGCAGCGCTGCCCCCACCCGTCCCCGCCCCGCGCGCCCCATCCCCGCCGGGGCTCCGCGCGGACCCCGCTCGCGCTGCGCAGCCCCCAGGACCGGGCCCGCGCCCTGGGCACCGGCTCTCGGCGTCTTGTTTACTAGTGTCTTGCGCCCCATCCCCCCCGCACAGAGAGGGCGGCGCTGGAGCGAAACTTGTGCGGGTGGTGGCGACATCCCGGGGGCTGGAGGGCGGCCCGGGGCCTGCGGACCCGGGAGAGGGCGTTCGAGCGCCGGGCTGGGCCGGTGCCCCGCGCCGCGTCCCTGCCTAGTGGAGGTTGTGGGTGTGACGCTTGCACCCGGCCTGTGCACATGTCCTGTTGTTGTGTAAACCGTCTCCGCCGCGAAACTCCCGAGGGCGGGGACCGCCTCTGGTTTCTCTGCCCACGCCGTCTGCACGCGGACACCGCGGACGCCCAAGGCCTCCTGACACTGTCTGCATGTTTGTTTGTGTTTTATTAGAAAGGTTTTGGTCGAGCAGAAATCTGGGCACGAATGTTCCGTGTTCTAGAGCCGCACAGAATGCTTATTGCCTGTGTTGTGTGCTTTTTGCTTTTGTGTTTGTCTTTTTGTTCCTGGCTGACAAAATAACATCTCTTTGTACTTTGTTGGTGTGTATTTGACAGGGCCTCAATTTCCCCATCTGTCAGCTGAGGATTTTCCTCTCCTTTTAATCAGTGCCTCTGGTGGTTTTCTGGATGCTTCTCTCACCCGTTCTTGGGGTTGCTGATTTTATTCTGAGTTTTGTAGGATGCTGGTACCTCCACCCCTCTGAAATCTCAGAGAACGCCAGAACATACTCCGCATCTTCACTTTGAAGAAGTGGCCCTGTAGGAATCGAGTAGTGTAGACATTGAGGTTTAACTTTTTTTGGGTTTACCTTTTTTTTTTATCAGTTCGAATCATCTCGGTGAGTTCCTTTTCATTGGTTGCCTTTGTTAATTGGCCAAGGCTCAGGATTAATTTCACGAGTTCTTTGTTCTGATTTCTGGCTTCTATTAGGAGCCTGGAAGACAGACCTCAGCCTGGGCCTAAGAAAACTTAGGCGGTTGACAGTCCTGCTTCTCTAAAGCTTTATGTCCCGTAGTCTGTCATTAGCTTTTATGAGCAGCTGGGAGTCCCATGGGGACACTTTGCCTTCCTGAAGTTTTTCGAGGGGAGGGGTGTTGACAGCGGGGTGATGCAGACATTATATATTTCGAAAATAATTATGAAGCAACGGAGATACCCTCAAGCGTGGACGATGTAGCACAGATTGAAAACTAAATGCTGAGGTGGCTTTTACCTAAAATGGTGACTGCCTGTGTTGGATACAATGTCGGGCTCTAAAGTGTGGGAAACTCAGGCATGTGGTAAATCTATTTTAAAAAGAGTAGGTGATTTTCTCTTGTTCTAAAATACCGCTGCTGTCAGTTGCCTCTTTGGGAGCATAGATTCCTGTTTGTACACGTCATGCAGCATATAGGCTGTCAGAAGTCACCAGAAGTGAGTGCTTTTTTAGAACTTTTCTTCTTTTAATGCAAACAATAAAAGCACGACTAGTTGTGTTTCTCCTGCGTAGGGAACCAGGTGATTATAACCATTGCCCGGCTGTGTCTAATCACAGGTAGCCTTGTGACAAGTTTTCTGATACTTCATCTTCGTAACGACACCTCCAATCTTGAGTGTCAGAGGGCTTCTTTCTAGAAGTGCAGGTTTTATGTTTGTTTCTACAAAGGATCCCAGGGACAAGGAAGGTATGAATGGTACCTGGCTGGAACGTGCAGGAGTGAGGCAGTTTTCCTTTCTCACCTTGGGTTACCAGCCCCGCTTCCTGAACAGTTCTTAGCTTTACTTCTCCTTGGCAAGAACCCCTCTTCACTCCAAATCCCGGAGTCAAAGGATCCTTTGTGCTTAACTGCCAATCAGACGGCGTGTGCGCACACGGCCTCCAGATTCTCACCAGGTTCTGTTTCAGCGACTCTCATTTCCAGAAAGCTCACAGTTCCCAGCGACCGTGAACTGAGGAGAGACTTTTTACACCATTTGAGTTTATTTTCATCAATTGGCAGCAAGAAGTGTTTAACTTTCCCTGAGTCCAGTTAGAAGTCAAAGAACAGCGTCCCCTTGCCCGTAACCTTGCAACCACATAGAGTGGAAAAACATGATGAAAAGTTTTCTCCCCCCCAACCCCCGTTTTTGCAAATAGGGTGATATTTGGATGGAATTCGGCTTGTGAGACTTGTAGAGCCGATGGTAGAAAGCAGACTGCTTCCTCCTGGCAGTGACTTTGATTTTTCCAAGGGCTGGACTCTCACCGTCCTGTTGAGACTATTTAGTGCCCTGAATGCCAGGATCAATTCAAGTTTGATACTTATCCTTTATCTTTTTGTTATTATTATTTTAAAGATTTTATTGGGAATTGAGGGAGGGGAACAGTATTGGGGAATCGGGGGAGAGGAACAGCCAAGTTGTTGCCCTTCAGCCTTAGTTGTGGAGGGCGCAGCTAGCTCAGCTCCAAGTCCAGTCGCCATCCGGCTGCCTGTCTGCAGCTCATGGCCGCTCAGCTCAAGGTGCCGTGTTCAATCTTAGTTGCAGGGGGGCGTAGCCCACCATCCCATGGGGGAGTTGAACCAACAACCTTGTTGTTAGGAGCATGTGCTCTCACCAGCTGAGCCAGCCTGCCACTTGTTGGCAGCTCAGCTGGGGTGCAGCTCCCTGGCCCATGTGGGAATCAAACTGGTGACCCTGTTGCTCAGAGCTCATGCTCTTAACCAACTGAGCCACTCGGCTGGCCCAACCTTTATCCTCTTTAAAAAAAAAAAAAGGTTGACTCTTTTAAAATGTCCTTGTCGGTGCCAAGGAGTGCAATCAACAGACCCTCTCCAACCCTGCTGTCACGCTTCTCCCCTACATGCAGCCCCCCGCTTTCTTCCACCTTGGCAAGGTAAGCTCTTTGGCTCTTGCATGACTAGGAGTGGTGGCCTTTGATCTTATTCTGTCCTAGGTGGGAGGTTGAACAGGTTAGTCAGAGGGGGTCTAACCCCATGGCTGGGTGTCAGGGGCAGCCTGATAACAGCACCATCTGGCTCATGTTGGAGGAGAGGTTTTCCTATCACAGCACCGGGTGGCCCATCTCCCCGGTGCTAACACCCGGCTTCCACTGCATGCTACTGTCCCTGAGTGTGCCTTTCCGAGCGGGGTCATGTGTTGCCACATATCCCTGCAACTGCTGCCTGTGTGTGTGTGTCGGGGGGTATTGCAGTGTCGTGAGCCCCCTTTCAGTGTGTGAATATATGGGGCAGGAGGAGAGCCCCTTTTGATAACCTGCCCTAAATACCTGTCTCCTGAGTGGAGACGAAGCCCCGTAGCAATGCCTGCCACACCTGGCGCAGCCTGTGGTCCTTCTCTCCAAGCTTCAGGTTTGACAGGAAGTTTGGAGACAGGGTGGAAAACAGGTCCTGAGCTGGGAGCAGCGGAGGCTGAGGGAGTTGCCGGCCTAGTGACCCCTGCAGCCTCTGCCACCACCTCCTTTCCTCCATTAGCCACTGGGAATGTGGTCGGAAGCTGTCACCACGTTGCCAGATGGATACTGCTGTCCATGCGAGCTGACCCTGCGTGAACAGCCACCGGCCTGGCTGCCCTGCCTCGGCTGTGCAGGGAAGGCCTTTGGTCTCGGTGGCAGCTGCCTGTGCTGGGAGTTGCTTGGAGCAGCCGTGGCAACGTATGTCAGGTGACAGACCAGGAAGGTCTCTGGTGTAGGCCCTGGGCTGTCGTCTTTGACATGTGGGAAAAACCCCTGGGAACTACTCACTGTCCCATCTAGCAGAGTGTTTCTGGAAGCGTTGGTCTCCTCTGCACTTTGCTCTTGGGAGCGGTTAACCTCAGTGACAGGGAGGCAGGATGAACAGGGCAGTAACTGATTCACTGGGACCTGCCTCACGCCTGGGTGACTTGGCTGATGCCAGCATCACAGCGGCGAATCTCTCGGGGACAGTCCTGAGGCGGGTTTGCCCTCCGGCGGCAGCAGCAGCCGCTGCAGCTTGGCTGGCAGACACAGGAGACGGTGCCCAGGGCTCACAGCCTCCTGAGTGTCGTCCCTGCTCCTCCCCACTTGCTGGGCCCCTGCCTGGCCCAGCTCACGCCCTTCCTTCCGGTTGTGGGCCTGGGCCTGCCCTGGCTGCTGTGATGGCTTGGGCTGTCCTGCTGTCCTGCCATTCTCTTTGTGAAGTGGGTTGTGTTTGAGGTGGAGTCCCCACCTCTGGAGGTGTCCGTCCTCTGGTCGGCTGCAGGACAGACGATTCACAGCCGGATGGAGACGCCGGTCGGTCGCATGACTCGGGCGGGCTCTCCTAGGGTTTTGTTCCCGCTGTCCTCAGGGCCAGTCCACACACTGTTTCTCAGTTTAACACGTTAAGCGCCGTGGCAGTCACCGGTGACTGACACTATGCTTTCCGTTCGGACCGCGTCAGTCACTGGTGACTGACGATGTACAATTTAAAAAATTATATTCTTCTATTAGGAAAACTAATTTCACTTGAATCGCTTTCACACGTTTCTTCTACTGACATTGTCACTGTTACGGGTAAAGAAAAAAATGTTAAACTGCACTGGAACACGAACCACAGACAACTGACTGAAGAGAAAGCATATCGGTGAAATGTGAGCTTAAACGGAAAGGAAGACAAAACAGGCTCGGCGCCTAACGTGTTAACTATGTGCTTCCTTTGGTTTTGGCGACGAATACGCATCTGCATGTGTGTGACGTGCTTGTTTTAAATTTCAGGTGGCTGAGACGTCTTCGTTAAGCTGGAGCACCCGAGTAAAAGGCTTTGCGGTGTGTTTTGGTGCAGGAATTCTCTGCTCGCTGCTGGTAAGAGTCCCGCCCCTCTCCTGGCTTTGCCCCGCCTCCTTTCCCTACCATCCACCTCCTTGTCTCTTAACGGTGTGGATTAGAGGAGAGGGCGCTGAGGGGGCCGGGAGGGGAGCAGGTTTCTGTGCGGTCCTGGCTGTGTGGCTGTGATGGGAGGGGACCCATCTGTGTGGTCCTGGGCAGACACCCCTGCTTTATCTTCCAGGGAACCCTTCTGCTCTGGGTGCCGAGGAAGGGGCTGTACCTCTTCGCAGTGTTTTACACCTTTGGGAACATCGCATCCATCGGGAGGTAACTGCTTTTAATCTAATCCCAGCCAGTTATCAGATGGGGAAACGGATGTGGATTGTCCTGGAGGGGGGTGTCCCCGTAGTTGTAAAGGTTTGGGGAGAAAAGAGGTAGGTAAACTACATCCCATCCGTGCGCTCACTTCAGCATATGTTTGTTAGTTTATCTTTGAAAGACGCCTGGGAGAGGCAGGGAATACGTTCAGGCTGTGATTCTGCAGTGAGGGACCCGTGTGGCCCAGGGGAGGTGGATGAAGCCTTCCAGGTTCCCAGCATGACCCTCTTCATCGCTCCGGTCTTCCGGCTGCCGGAGACGGAGTCAGTGGTTTCAGAAAGGTCCCCGGGCCAGTGGCTGCAGCTGAAACGTGTTCTCATTTATATAAGATCACCTCAGACTGGCATGGGCACTGATGGGGCGACTCCCAGATGTGGGCAGCCCATTCCACGAGCTGCAGGCGCACAGACCCTGCGCCCGCCCCCCACCCCCTCCACCCCAGGTCAAGGTCGTTCACTGTAATGCTTAAACCACACCAGTGTGCGGACAATCCCGGTCCTGCTGCCAGCTGGGGATGCCCGGACTTCTCCCTGAGCGGCCTGCTGGGCCCTGAGCTGTCATCTTCCTCCCCTTCCATTGTAGCCCCGTGAATGGCCTCAGAGTCCTGAGTGTCCAAGCCACGCCCCCATCATTACTCACTGAGGCTTGGTGTCCACCCTGCTGGCTCCTCCCTCTTTGTCTCCATGGCTGCTGTCCCTCAGTGAGGGACTCACATGGCTCGATGGGGAGCCTGGAACGCACCGTGCTGGGCTCTGAGCATTCAAAGAGTGTGCTCTGGCTTCTGTGGTGGTGGAGCTCACAGACAGACATATGAACTGATAACATAATAGGATGTGGAGACAGAGATGCTCAGGGAGGGGCAGCTGACCTGACCTGGCCTGATCCGACCCGGGGACCAGGGAGGGCTTCCCAGAACAGATGATATCCGAGCTGCTCTTAGCTCTGGCCTCCTCACTTCTCATCTGTACCACTGCAGCCGTCCTCTGTGGGTTCCCTGCCTCCTTTATCGCCCCTCTGCAAGCCAGCCATTCACTGCCCTGCTGAACCCCCCTAGTGGCTCCCGGTCCCGCTCTGCAGGTGCAGTCTGTACCCATCACCATGCACACAGGCGAGGCCCTTGAGGTCTGCCTCTCGCACTCCTCAGCCAGGGTACCCCCCAGCCAGTGCACCCCCAGCCAGGCCTCCCCCAGCCAGGCTGCACATCCTGCATTTCCCCGAGCCTCCAGATTACCCCGTCCCCTCCAGAATCACTGACCTCCCTTTTCATATGGGCCTCTGCATGTCCCATATATATATTTGTGACACCACACTTAGCATTTCATTACACTGCCTTGTTACAAGTCTGTAAACGGCTTGACAAGGGCTGTACCTCTGTCTTGTCCCTAACTGTCCCCAATCCTAGTTCTGTTTCTGGCTGGAAATGTTGACTAAATGATTGTGTGCATGACTGGCTACCTTTTAAAATCAAATTTATTAAAGATAATGATATTATAGTAAAACGCTGGTCCCTGGAGAGGCCTATTCTTGCCTGGAAAGCTCTCACATACTAACTATTGGGGGATTTCCCTCTGGGCGGACAGTGTAGGTGATAATGTGGGATCTAGACTGAGCGTAATATATGGGTGAGCTGTTTAGTCCAAAAGTACTAGCAAATCCTAACGGAGCCTCCCTCTTTGCAGCATTGCCCAGGGATTAAATTATTATTTCCTAGGTGGCTTTACCTATAATCTTACATTTTTGTATACATGCTGCACTTAATTTTTAGGACCAATCTTTGCTATTGCTTCTTGTCCAGTGTTGGCTAAAGAGTACACTCAGCTCAGACACTTGACCTGAGGTTGCAGCCTTGAGTTCAAGTTTAAACTTAACAGCACTTCAAAGGGGAGGTGGACTTATTTTTTATTTTTAATTTTTATTTTATTTATTTTTTTTTTTAAAGATTTTTATTGAGGAATTGGGGGGATGGGAACAGTGCTGGGGAATTGGGGGAAGGGGAACAGACAAGCTGCTGTCGTTTTGTTCTTCAGTCTGGTTGTGGAGGACGTTGCTTCACTGGCCCAAGTTGGCACCATCATTGCGCTCTTCCCGGGTGAGGCAGATCAGTCGCCGGCTTCTGGACGGCTGCTCCCGGCGGTTTGAGGGCCACTCATGCTGGCTGCTGGCTACACACGGTAGCCCATGGCAACCCACTGCCACAGGGGCTGCAGCCTACGCCGGCAGCCAGCGACTCACGGCAGCCCAGCTCCAGGTTGAGCTGTTGTTCAGCATCTTAGCTGTAGAGGGCAGTGTCACTGGCCCTCATATGTGGGATCCGAACTGGGGCCCTCTGGCGTCCCAAGCCAGCTCTTAACCATCGCGCCACTCGGCCTCCCGGTGGACTTATTTTTTAAATCTTTGTTTTTATTGAACACCTAGTAGCAAATGTTATCTGCTGATTGGCTTGTATTAAACCCTGGCTCTAACAAGCTACCCCTGGGGCATTTCTGTGAGGAGGCGGGAAACACAACACAAAGCTGGCCCTGACACGTGGGACCGTAAGCGTGAGGCTCTGCTTCATCTGTGCAGCCTCTCCCTAGCCGCCTGTCGGGCTCCATTCATGCACAAGGCACGCCAGGCATGTCTCCTGGGGTTTTAGAATCTAACGGGTGTGGGTTTGAGTGCCTGCTCCTTAAGTTCCTAGCTGTGTGACCTTGGGTAAGTCAAGTTAACCTTTCTGAGCTTCGTTTTCTCATCTCTAAAATAAGTGTGATAACACGCGACTCACAGAGTTGTTGAGGGGATGAAGTGAGGTCAGGTATGTGATATATGGCATTTAGAAAACATTCGGTAAGTCCGAAGTGATGTTATTATCATCATTAGAAGTATTTTCTGCAGATTATGAAGGAAAATGAAATGTTCTACTTTTTATCATAAACAGCCCAAGCCTGTAAGATGTGGTTTTTCTTTTAAATTACCTGAGTCTTTTAGGTTGGTTGGTTGGCTGGTTGGTTGGTTGGTTTTCGTGGGTAGATTGTGAGGGAGGCAAGGTGGCCCCTCTCAGAGAGGGGTCCTCTCACCTAGCGGGGGCCTGGAGTCAAACCTACATGGACTTTCAGCCTCGCTCTGCCGTTTACTAGCTGGGTGGCCTTGGATAGCAACCAACCCGTCTCGGCCTCGGTTTCTTCACCTGTAAAATAAGTATGATAATTGTCCGGTGATCAACCCAGTAAGTTGTGGATCGATTAAATGAGAATAAGGCACTAAAAGGGCCAGAGTAAGGGCTTTTCAGATGTTCGCTATATGACTGCTGTTGTTGCCACGGGTAATCTTGGGGGCGGGGCGGGGGAGGCAGCTTGGTGTGCCTCGTGTGGTTCTGCTCTGGTCTCAATGGCTTGTGTACATTTGCCTCGTAGCACTGTCTTCCTCATGGGACCAATGAAACAGCTGAAGAAAATGTTCGAGCCCACCCGTTTGATCGCAACTATCATGGTGCTGGTAAGGTCTGCCTTTCGGCTGGGCTTCTAAGATGGGAGTTTTATTTCTGCCGTTGGAAATTTTGCCTTTCACCTTGACTTTCTACCAGGTGCCTGTAAGCGCTATGGTGGAAGGGAGCGGTTTCAGCCTAATAATTTGCCCCCGCCCCACCCTTGTGTTTCCATTGGTGTTAAGGCACTGCCAGTTCTAGAAAGCACCCCCAGAGGGCGCTGCGTGTCCAATTAGCCGAAGTGTAGTGAGCAAGTTGGCACGCCCTCCTGGTGATGGGTGAAGCCACACACGGGCAGAGCTTGGAGGGAATAACCCGGAAACACAGGGTGCATTCTCTCGAGGGGGGTTCAGTCTCCTAGGGTGGGCTCTTTTCCCCTCGATGTTCTCTGAGTTGAGGATCATATTTGTTTTCATCCTTCTTCCTGAAGTGGGCCCGGTCTCCTCGGGGCCCGTCAGCCCTGCTCCCTGCTCCGACCAGAGGACCTTCAGTCTCGTCAGACCTTCCTGTACTCTGAACCCAGAAGGCCTTCCCTTCCATGTGGCCGTCAAGGTCATTCCAGACCACACGCTCTGTCCTTGTACTGTCATTATCAGTGGCAACGTACTTTTACTCTCAGTGTCACTTGTATACCTTTGACTTGTTCAAATTGATCAGTTCTCTCAGGCCAGGTCCACGTGTGCTGTTTATTTTGTGTCCTTTCTGAGCTCTGGGCACAGTGCTAGTCCAAAGCGAATACTTAGGACATGTTTCTTGAGAAGTTACTGGAATGGAAGGATGGAGATGACAGGCATGATGGTCAGTGCGGGGTCCTCGGCCCGTCCCCGACGGAGCTGGTGGCCTGGACAAGTCTCTCGTAGAAAGAACTTCCTAAGAAAGGACCTGGGGAAAGTGTTAGGTGACACAGAAACCAAGAGCCAGCTTGCTGCTTGTGAGATTGACATCTCATGTTAACCTTTGTCCTCGCACGGCCCTTTCTATGCCCAGGACGAGTGTTTGGGCAGGAGTTAAAACACAGAGGTATGTGTGAAACCCGCCTTGGCACGTTTGAATGGAAAGATGGACGGGCATGTGGCTGGACCAGCAATGTGATTTTTGTTTCCTGGGCAGAGAGAGATGCTGGGAATATTTAAAAGTAGAAGAAGATCCTTCTCTTTTCAATGGACATGAATTCTTGTTGGCTTGTTTAATTTTGTGGGCTCAGGCGGGTGAAGTGCTCTGAAATGAAGGATGTGTTATACGTGCGTGGCTGCGATGGTCGTCACAGCGTCTGATTATTGCAGTTTGATGAGTATCGGTGTAACTTTGCCAAGGACGATAAGTCTTTACAGTTTTTATTTTTCCATGTTGTCACGGTCATTGTATTAATTCAGCGTATCCTTTCTCTCTCTAGTTGTGTTTTGCGCTCACCCTGTGTTCTGCCTTTTGGGTAAGTGTGTATTTTAATTTTCCGTACCCTTTGTGGTTGGTGCTCTCACCCCACTCACGGAGCTCTATCCTTTTTCTTTCAGTGGCATAACAAGGGGCTTGCGCTCATCTTCTGCATTTTGCAGTCCTTGGCCCTGACGTGGTGAGTAACCTTTTAAACAGTGCCCGTCCACGTTGCTCTCTGACTAACGCAGCCAAAGGCCATCAAATCCCAGAGGGTGTGGGTGAGAGGATTAGGGAACCATCAAAGCTGTCCAGTGGGAGAATTCTCAGTGATGCAGGTGAAGTCAGACCCCAGAACAAAAGCTGGTCCCCTCGGCCCGCTGCCAGCAGGTGTCATGAGGGGTCTTGAATGGCCTTAGGAGGCTGTTTGCCTGCTGCAGCGTTTTTCCTGGGCTCATGGTTGGTTTCGAGATGTTGTAAGTAGGATCGAATCACTCATGTCCCGTAAGAGCAAGGATAACGAAGTATTACACGGGCTGGGAGTCCAAAAGACATTCAAGAGAAAGGAAAGTGGTCAGAACAATAATGAGCGTTACATGTGTGATGGAATGAATCATTTAGCAGAAGGACAAAGAGTAGATTGTCAGTGGAGACGACGAACAGTGACATGAACCGGAAAGCGTGCCTATGGGCTGTAGGACCAGCGTATGCGCTGGAGGCCTTTTAGCAAGGCCCGGGGATTGTAACGCAAGGGCCACGCAGAAGTAAAAGGTTATTTGAAACCACGAATGGGGCTGTAGGCTCGTGGCGCTTTGAAGCCATCCCAACATGAAAGAGAGAGCAGTGGTGGCCCGTATGGGATCTGTCTTCTGAGACATTACAATAGCATTAATACTTTCAAAGTTTGTCAGGGGATGCTGTCTGCCAGAACGGTGTCAGTAGAGATCTGACTGGTGTACTTTGGGAAAAAAACGTTTGCTCTATCTAATATAAAGAACAGGGACTGAAAGCCATAAAGTATCCACGAATCAGTTGTACTCTTCTTTGGTAGAAATGGACGTAGAGACTGCAGGCTTAGCACCCATCTCTCCCTTGAGTAATTCTGGACTTTTGAATAAATACAGTTTCACAATGCTCTTTGGAATGTCCCCATGTTAATATGACGACATGCACATTTTGGTGGTAGGAACTGAAAGGGCCTGGTGTATGGCTTAGGTTTGTATTTTTGTTTTCTGGGGGCAGAAATTTGTACCCATGCCTTTCTTTGCTTATACAGTTCTCCCTTATCCAGGGTGGGGGGGGTACATTCTAAGACTTCCCCCCCCCCCACAGTGGATGCCTGAAACCTTGGATAGTGCCAAACCCTCTATATCCTACGTTGTTTCCTATACGAATCTACCTACAATTTTAGTTTAATTTATAAGTTAGGTACAGCAAGGGATTAACAACTTAAAATAGAACAATTATAACAATATATACTATAATAAGTTATGTGAATGTGGTCTCCCTTTCTCAGAATATCTTATTGTACTGTACTCATCCTTGTGATCACGTGAGGTGATAAAATACCTTATTATGTCGAGAACTTCCTCCTCTTCACTTAAAGGAAGCGCTGTGTGGCTTCTCTTTGTCATGTCCGAGTTGCCAGCATCGCTACCCGTGCACTTTGGGGTCGTTAGTAAGTAGAATCAGGGTGACGTGAACACCAGTCCTGCAGTCGAGCTGATCACTAGGCGACTACCAGGCGGAGGTGTCGGCAGGTGGAGACGCGGGGCAAAGGGATGATGCGCGTCCTGAGCGGGACGGAGTGGGGCAGCATGCGATCTCATCGTGCTGCTCAGAGCGGCGCGCAGCTTAAAACTTACACGTCATCTGTTTCTGGAATTTTCCATTTAATTGCAGACCATGGTTGACCAACTGCAGGTCACTGAAATTGGAGAAAGCAAAACCATGGGTGAGGGGGGATGACTGCGGACTGATGGCGAAGCCCGTTTTCAAAGGTTCAGCCTTCCTGTGGGCTCAGGCAAAGGGCAGCGTCCCCTCCAGCACTGACATGTTCGGACCGTGTGGGCTTTTCCTGAGGGCTGACCGACCTACACCCGCCTGACACACCACGCCCGGTCCGTAGGGCTGCGGACGGCCTCCTCCCTGCGTGGCCCCCTTCTGGGCAGGGGGCTGAGCTAGCGGTGTCACCAAGAAGCCGTTGAGCATGGGTTCTTGAAGAATCATAGATCTCTTTTAAAGTTAACAGGAGCAGAGCAGAAACTTTATCCCAATAGGGTAGACGTTATAGTCTGTTGAGGATTTGTAAAATATTAGAGGACGCTGGTCTGGGTTTTGTTCGGTGTTCAGAATCGGCTTCCATGCCTCCTGCGTATCTGGAATTTGCCCGTTTTAGGTGATTCTGCTGGTGCATCTGGTTAAAGCTGGAGCCCCGTGAGTTGGAAGTGACGGGTTGTCTCCACCTGGCCATGTTACACTCCTCCTCCGGCTACATGACACTCCCCTCTCCTCTCCAGATATACTTGTGGCACAGCAAGCGTGTGTGTGTGTGTGCGGGCGCCGCGTGTGTATGTGTGTGTGTGTGTGTGCATGTGTGCGTGTGTGCACGCGCATGTGTGCGTGCATGTGTGCATCCTTCACCCCAGGGAGGGAAAGGGCTCCGATAAACCACTGCAGATGTTCCCGCAGCTCAGAAGCCCACCCCACTGTGTCGTCCTCCACTCCTTTCATTTGATTTGATCTTTTGTTTGTTTCTCTTTGTAGGTATAGCCTTTCCTTCATACCATTTGCAAGGTAAGACTGACTGTAGCTTCTGTTGTTGGGGGTTGGTGATGTGTTTCTCTAGAGCCTGTTAGTGTAGGTGCTTTCAGAGAGGGCGTGTTAGTTTATCTTTATTAAACTCCTTTGAGACAACTAGGCAGATGTTACGTACCCATTTTATAGACTAGTAAGCTAAGGTTCCCTCTCCCCCATTATGTAGCCAGCGATGGACACGGACCCGGGCCCGCCACCTCACTGGGCGGCGTCTTTCCGTGCATGCTGCACATGACGTGCCAGGAGCAGATACCTGGGGTGGGGCCGGGTGAGAGCCCCGGGTGGCGGGAGCCCCGCGTGCGCGAGAGCCCCGAGAAGATGCCCCTGGCACGCTTGTGCCGCTTGCATAGAAATGAGGACAGGCCCGAGTGAGTGGGTCACTTGCTGCCCTGAGTGTGTTCTGTGATTCTGGTGGATACAAAGTGCACAGTCCTGAGTAGTTTCTTGGTGTCTGACAGTCTCCACTTTCCTCTTATCTTTTCCTCTGATTTTCATTGCCTCTATCATTTCGTGAATACCTGCCGAGTTCAGTGCACTGATTCCCACAGCGGGTCTGTGGGGTACGTGGGGAGGGACAGCCCCTTGCTTTGTATAGATGAGAAATTTGTGGCTCACACAAGACAAGTGACCTGTGCAGGATAAAGCCACTAATAGATGTCGAAGTTGAGGGCTGATCCCACCGCCTCGAGGCTTTCTGCTCTGCAGCGGGCTACCCTGGGTGCCAGGAAATCTGCAGGAGAGTCTTTACCGCTTACGGGAGCCGGGGGTGATGATCTCCCATTATTCATCTTTGTGTTTTTCCTTCCTAGGGATGCTGTAAAGAAGTGTTTCTCTGCGTGTCTTGCATAACATGCAGCCAGTTGTGCAAAGCTTTGGGAGGCACTGTGGACGGAAGCCGGTGGACAGTTTTGTAAATACCTTCAAACCTCTCTCTCTCAGATATGTGCCTTTCGTCTTGCAGCAGTGTGTTTCTCGCCATCTGAACGTTTGCGGATTGCTTTTGGAGGCAGCGACGTGTCCCCAGCCCCACGTGTCTGTAGCACAGTGGGAGGGGTGGGCTCTGTGTGTTTCGGGGAGGCATCTCCTCCTGTACCCCTTCTCTCTTTGGATGGTGTCCCACTGAACTCTCATAAATAAAAGCCATGTCGAGCAAGCAGCAGATAAGGCCTGGGAGGTAGGGATGGCCAGGTGACCACAAGCAGCCACATCGGAGACGGCAGGGGTGCAGCCGTAAGGGAGAGAGTTGGGAGTCAACAGGGACTTTGTAGACTGTCCCTCGGCTTGGAGACCATCACCCCTGCCCCACACGGTGTGGACATGCCTCTGTTTTGGTGTCTGGGGACAGGTGGCCCTGTCCCGACAGCTGCACACGAGCCCGTGCAGAGCCTGGCTGGCGGGGGAGGGACTAGGAAGACGGGCTCTCCGGTGCCAGGTCGTGCTCTCAAGTCTGCACCCCGGCCCTCCACTCGCACTCTCGATTCCGCCCCTGACGGTGGAATGGATTTCCTGACACCAGGGTGCTCTTTTTCTCCTGGGTTTCTCTGTCTTATTCCCCCCCCACCCACCCCCATAACTGTGCTCGTGACCTCCTGGAATGAGGCTGACGGGACAAAACAGCAGAGAAAAGGCTGCTTTTCCTTGTGGACAACAGCCCACAGGAGGTGAAAATGTTTGATGTTCTCTGCTCTATTTTTTTTCTTCGTTTATACATGTCTGCTTTTAAACCGATTTTATTTTCCATTCTCTCCTGGAGTGGGGCCAGGGAGAGTGGGTGGAAGGACAGCCCCCTGTGGGGCCAGCGGGAGTGAGGCACACCTGCCTGGTGACCTTTCCGCAGTCCCAGCATTGACACTTGAGCCTGTGCTGGAGACACCGGGAGAAGACGAGACGTGACAGGCGGCAGGGCGGTCGTGTCTCAGCCTGACGCCGAACAGCAGACAAAGTGCTTTGTGTCCGTGATCTTGTCTGGTCCTCACACGGCCTTGTGACGAAGCAGGGGCCATCAAGCCTCGCAGAGGCCACCAGGTCCACCCAAACCCACAGTTGGTGGCAGCACAGAGCCTGGTGCCCCAGCTTTAAGCTCTTAAGCCCCCGCGTTTCCTGGTGTGGCTCTGGGGGCACCTCCTATAACCGTTGCCTGTTGGCGTCAGCCAAGCCTGTGCCTTTTCTGGTCCCGGTCTCTGTCACTGCCCGTCTCCCGCCCAGCCTCCCTTTGGGACGTGTCCTCCTGGATCTGCAGGGTCTCCGTTGTTCTCTGTGCCTCCTTTTAGCTCCTCCTCGCTGCCTGACGACCAGAATGTCGTGTCTTCCTCGCCAGAGTCCTTGGCATTGCAGCAGCTCCACAGTCACCCTACAGATGAAGTCTCTGGGGTTGCCTTTCTGTGCTTCCCCGGCTCTAGCTGTGCACTTGGGCTGTTGCTCGGGGAACCTCCCACCTGGAGGCAGTTGTCTCCTTGCTTGTGGCTAATTGCTGAACTCTCTCCCTCTGCTGCTGAGACCTCAGACTGGCCGGCCTTTTCTTCTGAGCTGGGGAGGTGTGAACAGGCCTGATGGGGCGGAGGGAGGACCCAGCCTCCCCAGGTCCTTTCTCGGCTGTCGAGGACACTCTGCCTTAGCCTGAGGTCCCCCAATCTGCCTTCAGCTCGGAAGGGAAGTGAAATGCTACCCTCTGGCTTTTGTGGAGTTTTCCACATCCCAGGTGCCTCTGGGAGATGGTTCAGATCTCCAAAGGGCTCAGGGGTGCCTGTTAAGATGTCACCAGGATGTACAGCGTAGTGGTCATGAATGCAAGCTTTGAAATCAAACTGACGTGGGTGTGAGTGACGGTGTAGCACATCCTAGTGTCATGTTGACCGAGTTACTTACGCTGCGGTTCTCAGATTGCTCGTCTGTTTAAAAATAACGGGAAAAAACAATTCCTGCTGGGTTGTTGAGGATGTCAATGAAACATGTGTCAGGTGCTTAGCACGGGGCCCAGCACAGGTGAATGGTAACTCAGTGAAAAGTCGGTACTATTATTTAATCCCAGAAATAACTGATGACCATTGAAAGTGTCAGGGTGACTGTTTCTGGCCATTAGTTTATGTAAGAAAGGCTTATCTAGTACTATGTGTCTGGCACTGTAGATAGTCCCATGCACGTTCTCATTTAATATTCACAATAACTGCTGTCTAGTGGTCTTGTCTCCGTTACTAAAAAGAAGGAACGGCCTCAGAGTAAGGGGTGTGTGCCAGATCCCACCAGCAGGGGGCGTTGGTTCTTGCACAAATGCTACTGCTTTGCCCCAGCTCTGGTGGTCTGTGGCCACTTGCTCAGGTGGCTCCAGTCAGGACACTTTGGCAGCTTTTGGACGGTTCTGCCTTCCAGGATCTTTAGACTCCTAAATTTCTCCCCCTGCTGGCTTATTCTCTGTTTGCTTCCTGACTTGTCTTTGTCGGCCGGACTGTGGGAGAAATCCATTTCAAATCTGCTGAAAGCTGTTACCACGCAGCGTCGTGGGGAGATGAGGAGTGGAGTGTTGTTGGGGTGTTAGACCCTGGGGCTGGTGGTGGTCTCCGTTTTCTGCTCCCCGGCCTTGCATCCTACCCCATTTGCTGCTGGGTAGAGGAGAGCTCATTGTGTTTCTGGAGTGAAGGGGACCATGGAGGAGGCTCTTTGGGATGGGACATGTGCTCCCCCGAGGTGCTACTTCCCGCTGTCATGCGTGGACTGGACTTGCTGGCTCTGAGGGTCGTGCTGGGACCACTGTCCACACCTGGAGGGCCGGCTGCCGTGCTCTCAGGCCTCTCCCCCTCCCCGTGTCCCGGAGACTGGGGGGTATTTGCTAACTCACTGCCTCCCTCCTCTTGTCTCAGGATAAGACCCTCCGCTTTGGCGCTGGCGAGGCTGTGCCCCTGCTGTCCCTACAGACAGGGCCGGTGGGTGGGGCTCTCCCCAGTTGAGCCTTCTCACTGGGTGCTTGCAGATGCTCTCTGTCACCCTCTAACGGTGATTCTGTGCACTGCTTACCTGAGTGCCACCTCCCTTCCACCCTAATCAGTGTGTGCTCAGGGAGCAAGACACAAAATCACGAAATGCATGTAAATAAAATTACTTTTGGATCCTTCCATTAGAAAACAATTAAGTGGGTTATACCTTCAAAGGAGGGGTGTGGGGATACTGGTTTGGCTGCCTCTGGTTTCGGGAGCTCCCCGGGAGTGACAAATGCTGAGCCTTCGTGGAATGAGTCAGGACGTTGAGCTGTAGCCCGAGGCTGTGGGTCCCTTTGTGGGGCAGCTGCTCTTCTCCGTCCTCGGGTGACTTGTGAGTAGGGTCAGCTGCAGAGCTACAAATACTTAGAAATTCACCACCTCTCCTTAGGCTTCATTTTCAACAAATAAACAGCAAATCAGTGTTTGAGGGTTATAAAGCCACTTTGCTAGATTTTTGGCATAGTTTTTTTAATTTTAAAATTTAAAATTTTTTTGATGTTTAAAGAAGTGCAGTTTCTTTGCAGATGTCATTTTTTTTTAAAAAAAAAAGCTAGTAGACCTTCCACTGCAGTTAAATTTATATCCGTGTGTCTCTTGATGTTTGCAAAAGATTTTAGATTTAGACTTACAGGTTTTTTTGGACATTCTTATTTAAAAAGTTGATTGGGCAGTTCGGTTGTATGACATTAAAGTACTTCTGATTCATAATTTTGTGTAATTCTGAGATCTTGAGAGTTTGTAGCTGAGTAGAGAGGAAAGGGCTGTATAGCTTATTTGATCCCAGTTTACTCGAGATGGGGTGTTTAGTTCCACTTCCTGGCTATTTCCAGTTCTACCCCGAATGCATAGGTGACCTCCCACGTCCCCGGCACCCCGAGCTCTGCTGTTGGACACTCAGGTGTGTGTAGCGCGGCCTCCCAGAGAACCGGCAGACCTTCCAGGGCTCATGAGAGGGACCAGCAGAGGCAGTGTTCAAGTAAACGGACAATAAAATTACACCCTTCCCAGCAGGAGCTGACAAACTGATAAAGGGCTTAGACACCTACTAGGATTTTCTGTGGACGTGACAAGCTGAAGGCAGGAAAGAGTGACTCCTCTAGATGGGAGAAACACGGCTGTTTGAAGCCAAGGTCAGTTTGTAGCGTTGTAACAATACTGATGTATGCTTTCACCCCAGAGTAATGTCACTGCTTTTAATAAACAGCACCAGAAAAAAGGTCATGGACAAAAGTTCCTTGCTATAAACAGGCTGCCTACACTGAAACTCCTGTGCGTCATCCTGTGAGACCAGACAGACAGGTATCTGGGCAGGTGCTGCTCTCTGCCTGGGACCGGGAGGAGGGGGTGTGGGGGGAAGTCCACACTGAACTTGCCCTAAGCACAGCCGAGCCTTGTACTTGGGTCATGTCCTAAAGGTGAGTCCTAATGAACACTCACTCTTGGGATCTTTCTGCTATGCAAAGTGTTTATTTTGCCTTTTTCAATACAATTGCTTGACTTAGCCACTTTGAACAAGGGGAGGAAGAAAACAAAACAAAAAAACCCTCTGAACTCTTGATTTTTTTGCTGCTGTTGTAAACTCTGATTGTGACGTTGGGGGTGAGGACATTAAAAAACCCACGGGGAATTTCTATGCCTTCAGACCACGGTGCCTGTTGTAATGTGATGAGCTTTTAAAACACTTCGTTAGAAACATGAATCAGCTTTTGTAATTGTGTAGTGAACTCATTTTGAATGCTGTTGATTGCATCACCGAACTTTTTATATTCAACAATATATTCTCATGTGCTACTTTTCCTACCTTGAGGCTGTATTTCATACAATGAAGATTGTGTTCTTTTTACTAACTCCTTTTAGAGAAAGAATTTTGCTGATAATTAAGCTGTTTCCCCCCCCCCCCAAATATCACAAATTCTCATTTGTTTTCTTTTCTCCTTTAATAAATAATAACATTGTGATCTTTAATAAATCTAGTGTTGTCTCTTATTCATGTTTGTTTTTCCAGGAATCACTAAACCTAATGAAGATCATATGACTAAGAAAAGACCGTGTCTTTAATGTGAATCCTTAATGGGTGGCACATACTGTAGGCTCTTAAAGATGTTTTGTAGGCCTCTCTTTCAGATGACTTAGTGATTGCCATGAGTCTTAAGGACAGTTTTGAAGGTGTTTGAAAGGTAAGAAATTTTTAGTGTTTATTTTGGGATATTCCTGCACACCTAGCTGGTTTGGTCACTTGGCGTAAACTAGGATTGACAAATTAGCATAAAGTTCATAATTTTTAAAATTCATTTCATGTCTGTAGGATTTGTAGTGATGCCCCTTCTTTCATTGGAGATACTGTTTATTTGTGTCTCATCTCTTTGTTTTTTGGTGGGTTTTTTTTTGTTTTTTTTTTTAAGATTTTATTGGGGAATTGGGGGAGGGAACAGCACTGGAGAATCGGGGGAAGGGGAACAGACAAGTTGCTGTCCTTTCGTTCTTCAGTCTAGTTGTGGAGGATGTCGCTTCACTGGCCCATGTTGTTGTTACCATTGCGCTCTTCCCAGGTGAGGCAGTTGCTCGCCGGCCATTGGATGGCCACTCACAGCGGCTCATGGCAGCTCACGGTAGCTTATGCCAGCTGCCAGCTGCTCACGATAGCTAATGGCAGCCCACTGCAGCCTACGCCGTTGCCGTCGCTGTCGCCTCACGGCAGCCCAGCTCCAGGTTGAGCTGCTGTTCACCATCTTAGCTGTAGAGGGCGCAGTGTCACTGGCCCTCATGTGGGATCCAAACCGGCGGTCCTGCTGCTCAGAGCTGGCGTTCCAAGCCAGCTCTTCACCAACGCGCCACTCGGCCAGCCCTCATCTCTTTGTTCTGATTAATCTAGCTTGAGATTTATGAATTTTATTGATCATTTGAAAGATACCTCCATTCAGAAGTTTTGCACAGACATTTAACAAAAACATGACACATGAATAGCCAACAAACACATCTAATACATACTGTGTTATCATATGAATGTTAAAAACCAGGTCTAACTAAATTCTAGATTTTAAAGATGCATTCGTAAGTGGTAAAATTATGACAAGCAAGAAAGTTATTTGCGTAAAAGTTAGGATAGCGACGACTTTGGGAGGGTTGGAAGGTTAGCTTGGGAAGAGGTGTGGTGTGCAGGGGACCTGGGTGCTGCTGCTCATGGCCTGTTTCTTGATCCAGTGGTATTTACAGGGTGTGTTCACTCGGATAAATCATTGATTGCACTGTGTGTTTTGGGTGTGTGTGCGTTTTTGTGGTGTGTTATATTTTATAATAAAAAAACTCCCCTTTGGTTTCATTGATTGTCACTATTGGTTGTCTGTTTTTTATTTAATTGATTTATTTTCTTACCTTTATTATTTCTTTCCTTATACTGAACTTGGGTGTAACTTACTCTTCTAGCTTTTTAAGGTGGGAACTTACGTAATTGATTTTAGATCTTTCACCTTTTCTAGTATAATATTGTACATTTCCCTCCAAGCTCTGCTTTAGCTGCATCTCACAAATATTTATATATTGTGTTTTCATTTTAATTCAGTTAAAAATGTTTTCTTATTTTCCCGTGATTTCTTCTGTGACCCATTGGTTACGTGGAAGTGTGTTTAACTTTCAAACACTTGGGGATTTTCCAAATATCTGTTATTGATTTATAATTTAATTCCATTGTAGTCAGAGAACATACTCTAAATGATTTTAATCCTTTTTAATTTATTGGGATTTGTTTTGGCCCAGCATATAGTCTGTCTTGGTGGATGTCCCAAGTGTATATGAAAATGTGTATTTGGTAGTTGTTGGATGGAGTGTTCTATAAATATCAATTAGGTCAAATCGTCTGATAGTGTTGTTCAAGTTCTAACCTTACTGATTTTGTCTACTTCTATAAATTATTGAGAGAGATGTGTTAGTTATAATTTGGATTTAACTGTCCATTTCATTCAGCCAGTCTTTTTATAATTCGTTTATTTTAAACATTTTGAAAAATAAAACACAGAAACAAAATGTAAAACAAAAATGTACAGCTCAATGAGTTATTGCAAAGTGATGGTATAACCACCACATAGGTCGAGAAATAGTACATTACCAGCATTTCAAAAGCTCCCGTCTGCTCCCTTCCAGTTATTACTTCCTGTATCTCTCCTCCACTAAGATTTTGTAGTGTCACTTCCTTGGTTCTCTTCCGAATTTTCTGCTTTGTTTTATTGAGATTTAATTGACATACAGTCTTGTATAAGTTGAAGGTGTACAGTATAAAGACTTGAATGACATATTGCAAAATGACTACCACCGTAAGTTTAGTTAACATCTATCATGTCACATAGATAGAAAAAAAACCCAAAAACACTTTTTTCCCCTCTGTGATGAGAAAGCTGTGATAGAGCTGAAAGTGGCTCACAAAACCACAGGGCTTCCGAACAGGGTCAGAATAAAGAGGCTTGAAGTCTTTAGGATAGAAACATGAAGCCAGCTCATGGGCTATAAACGAAGTTTGTAGTTATGGAGAAGAATGGGAATCCTATCAGAAAGCACACCCAGGTTGGTGCCACCAAACTCTTAAGTCCGAGAACTGGAGCTACTCCTTGAAGATGAAAGGAGGCCCCTGTGATTCAAATTACCGCCATACAGCAGGGAGTAAAGATGGTGTTTGTGACCCTGAGAGGTAGTCCAGATAGTCCAGGTGAGCGCCGTCCCTTGTGGGGCTAATGACGGTGTCCAGTCATTAGTCTCGCCACATGTATTCTAGCACCGTCCAGGGCATTCTCATCACAGTAACCAGACTGGTCTTTTAAAAACGCATTTTCTAGTACTTTTAGAGTTTCATACTTTGACATACAAGACTGTATGGTCTCCTGTGGTCTGGCCGTCACCTGCATTTTCATTTTCACTCTGTCTTCATTAGTCCCTCTTCTTGTCATGTTCTCTGTCTCGGTTGCCATGTGGTCTTCACACTCGCTGTGTCATCTGCCTGTGTTTCTCCTCTTTGCCGAGCTATCTCCCACTCAGCCTGCAGATTTCAGAGCATGCGTCCCCTCCCCTCCCGGGTCCGTGTGTTTCCTTAGCCTCCTGAGTCCCATGAGCCCAGTGTCTGTTTTTGCCAACTGCCATATCCCTCCCCCCAGTGCCGAGCACCCCACGTAAAGCAGGGGAGTCACTTCAGAAATATTTGCTGAGTTAAAGTATAAATATAATAGATAGGGGAGGTCACAAACAGGCCGACATTGGCCTGCAGACATGTTTTGTTTATTGCCGCACAACGTTTAACATTTTTTGTCTTTTTGATGGCTGTGGGTGGGCACGTGCCTTTCCGTCTCCCCGGTCTCTGAGTGCCCAGACTTCAGTGTTTGGTCTGCATGTTTCTGTCCCTGGTTTAGCTGCACGAGGGTAAGGCGTGACGTGGGTAGCTGGAGGGACGTCGAGAGCCTTTGTCCGCGTGGAGGACAGCCATATCCCTGCCCCCGCGCCAGTCCTTCTCATCACTGTCAGAGACTTAATTGGAGATTTAGAGTGACATTCTCATAGACACCTAGAAACTCGGAAGAATTCCCTTTTGGGCGATGTTTCTGGTGAAAAGTCTGATATTTGGGGGTCGTGTCCAACAGGTTGCCAGTGGCTTTGTACACTCCCCCCTTCCAGACGTGGAGACGGATGAGCTGCTGGCAGAGGAAGGCACCTTACAGCCTCTTAGGACGTTGTATTGGAACTGGCCCCGGACACTAATGAAAGAGTAATCCTCCCCTAAACCGCCCCAAAGCTAGTAATCCCCAGGGCTGCGTGTTGGTGATTAGAAAAGAAAGGTAGAGCAGCTGTCTCTTTGTTCAGTTTAATTATGACCAGGTCCCTGGGTGAGCGTTAATTTCCTGGTGGCCCTGAGGGTGGGTCAGGCGGTGTTAGGTTTCTGCAGGCTATAAGGGCTGACGGGCACACACGGATTTGGCCTGGTATGTGCCCAGAGACCCGGGCACTGGGCAGCGGAGCTGGAACTCGTGAGCTCAGGTTGCGTAGCTTTCAATGTCTGCCCTTTAAGTCCGAGCGAGACGTGGGCCGCTGTGCGCCAGAGGACACGGCGGTGCTATCAGATGTCAGCTAGCCCACACACCTTAATTAATAGCCCCCACCCCTACCCCCCAAATCAGCGGCAGGGCAGCTGCCGGACCAGTAAGGTAAAACTTCATTAAGTCGTCGGGCAGAAGAACATTTAGCCTCAATCCCTGCAGCGGTCACGGCCAGAGGTCACAGAGGTGGGCATCCCCCAGCTCTGCGTATTCAAGGTGGCGTCCAGACGCGTGTTCACAGACAGCCTGTGAGCTGCAGACTGTTCTTAGAAATTCTCCTGCTTGTGGTGAATGTGGCCTGCCGTTTCTTCTTACTCTTCTCCCCTTGTGTCCTCTGCCCAGAGAATGGTCCTGCCACCTCCTGGGTCCTCCAGCCCGACCCTTGGACATCATGACACACGCCTTCTCCCTTAAGAGCCGTACCCAGTGGTGACCAGCTCGCCTGGATCCCCCCTTCGGGACAGCTCACATCCCTGCGTCTGCTCCTCCCCACGGCACCTGCCTCGCTGGCCCTCAGCTCCCAGCCGT